ATGAGATGTATACCAGTGCCCATTGAGCGTAGCCCTCCTTAGCACGGACTCTTTCAAGTCATGGTGAGCCTCTACACCATAACATATTGACTTCTTCACTCCCACAGCTGAGCTGTGCCTTTTTCCCCATTTCCAGTCATTCCTGTGTCTTCACCAGCCTTAAATGTCTGGCAAACATCATGAAATGAGGCCCCAAACATTTCACCCAGAATCCCTTTGTCAGCCCCTCTCTCATCCTGTTGCATATGATTAGTGTGTCCTTGTCTTCCATGAGGTAAAGCTGAACATGGTTGCCCTGTGCCTCATCTGCATATAATTTTTTGGAGGATCCCAAGACAAGAACACCTGGTTCCAGTCATAAGTGCTGCAGAACCAGGAACCAAAGTTGAAAGGTGTGCATGAAAAGCAGTTGTTCCTTAGCACACAATCCTTGAAGCACAAAGGACGTCCATTCCCATGTGGAGAAAAGGTAACAGAAGGGCTGGGAAGCCCTGTTGGCTAAACCAGGAAATCACGGTCCTCTTAAGAAAGAAGAAAGAGGCTTACAGACAATGGAAGCTTGGGGCAGGCCCCAAGGAGGACTATTCCATGATGGCCCACATTTGCAAGGAACAGATAAGAAAGGCTAAAGTAGTGACCGAACTTATATTGGCAACGGGAATCAAGGACAAGAAGAAATCCTTCTTTAGATACATAGGGAACAGGAGGAAAACAAATGGGAGTGTGGGGCTATTGCTCAACAACTCAGGAGAGGTGGTTACTGGCACCCAGGAGAAGGGTGAACTCCTGAATGACTACTTCGCCTTGGTGTTTCACTGGACTAAGGGGAAGACCATGCCAGGTAGAGTAGAGGATCTAGTATCCCATGATGTACTTACAAGAAAACTGGAGGATTGTAGGCTTAACTCCAAGACAGATGGGTGAGAAACTGGCTGCAGGCTAGGACCCAGAGAGTAGTAGTGAATGGATCTGTGCCATGCTGGTGTGAAGTGGGCAGCGTTGTCCCGCAGGGGTCTGTGCACGGTCCAGTACTTTTCAACATCTTTATTAATGATTTAGATGTGGGGGTGAAAAGCTCACTGGCCAAATTCGTGGACAACACCAAGTTATGGGGAAGATAGGCTACAGATACAGGCGGATCTAGACGCGTTAGCAAGTTGGGTGGATCGGAACCTGATGAAGTTCAATGTTGAGAAATGTTAAGCACTGCACCACCTTGGGATGAGCAACCCCCAACACACCTACAAGCTTGACAACACCAAACTGACTAGCACCATTAATGAAAGGGACCTAGGGATAATAAAAGACCACAGTATGAATATGAGCCGGCAGTGTGATGTTATAGCCAGTAGGGCAAATAATATTCTGGCATGCATCTACAGCAAAGCTGAGGTGATTCTTCTGCTCTACTCGGCACTGGTGAGACCGCAGCTGGAGTACTGCATCCAGTTCTGGGCAGCACATTTTAACAAGGATGTGGACAAGCTTGAGAGAGTCCAAAAAAGAGCCACCCATATGATCAGAGTCTTAAAAGGCAAGCCACATGAGGAAAGGCTGAGGTATCTGGTGCTCTTCAGCCTGAGGAAAAGAAGGCTGAGAGGGGACCTGGTAGCAGCTTAGTTACACTAGGGGAGTACATCAAGGGCTCGGTGAGCAACTGTTCATCATGGCACCCAAGGGGAAAACCAGGAGTAATGGCCGCACACTTCTGGAAGATCAATTCTGGCTCAACATTGGGAAAAACATCTTCACAGTCAGGGTGTTCAGACTATGGAATAAGCTCCTTCCAGTGGTGCAATTACCTACCCTGGAAATCTTTAAGAGGAGACTATACAGTCTCCTTGCTGGGGTAATCTGACCCTAAGTTATCTTTCCTGCTGGGGGCTGGACCCAATGATCTTTTGAGGTCCCTTCCAGCCTTACAGTCTATGAAGTGAGGGCTAATTAGCACATGGAGCCTTGGGGGAGGGGGCAGAGAGGGTACGGTATCTGGTATACACAAACATGATGATCAGTGCTGAACTGTGGGGTCATAGTGGTTTAAATGCCATTGACTCTGTTGGGGGCCCAGTCCAATGAACTATATGGTAAATCATGAGCCTCTTGGTTTTGGACTAGTATCATGCATAGGTTGGACTGTATATAAGTGGGTGCATCTACACGTGCATTTACTGCGCAGTAACCAAAATTGGTGTGCAGAATGTGCGTGCATCTACACATGCACACTCATACTGTGCAATAAATATGGCGACTTACACCGACTTAAGCATCATGCAGGTATCAACTTTATATTTGATTAGTTACTACTTAGGGGCTACTTGACCCCTCCCCCCGCATTCATTTCCCCTGCTTTAGCAGTGGGAAGGGGATAAATTCAAGGCAAACCTCCAATAATTAGATTCCGTACCTGGAAAATTATAACAAATTTATAAATTTTTCATATGTAGAATCTAATTATTGGAGAGTTGTTTTATATTCAGGTAAATATGGTATATTTACAGTTCTTAGAATGAACACGTTTCTGAAAAAAGAAAACGGTTTTCCCTATTTCTTTTGTCATTGAAACTTTCAGCAAAAATACTTTTCTTTGACTTTGGGTCTGAGATTTGGTAAAAGGATACGCTGCTGTAGCTTATTCGTTAGATACTTCATAACTCTCCTCCATGTCTTTGGTTTTGTATTACATTATTCAAAGTGCTAAAAAATTGCGTTTTAAAACACTGGTGATTTCAGAAAGGAATGTTTATACAAGTTGATTTACTTATGTATCAGACTGTAGTTTTGAAGGTAAAACTATATACCTGTATGTTTTTTTAATATATACACAGAGTTTTACCTCCATTAATGCCTACAATGTTGCTAAAAATATGGATGTGTAATCATACTGGATGAGAAGAGCATTAATATTTAAAAAAATTAATAGGGAAATTGCAAATACTGTTGTGTGAGTAATTTCCACATTTAATTTATTCTATTTTATTGGGGTTTTTTAATTAATGCTTGCTTAATAAGGTATACTTGATTGTATTTGCAAAACAATTTGGTCTGCAACTCAGAGTTTCAGAATTTCCTTTTCTGTGAATGGAAAAAGTTGTGTTGTATGCTTTCTATAGTGGAAGACCTCTCTAGGTCTTCCTTGAAGTGGTGGAGAGGCTTGCATGTTCTAGTGATCCTGAAAGCAAGGCTGTCAGGAGCTTCATGCTCCTGGTAGGGTCACCCATGGTGGCAAGGTTGAGGGGGAGGTTCCTGTATAAGAGCAATCCAAGAAGACCTCAACAGCAGACCAGGCAGAAGAACAGTGTAACCCCCTTTTCAGCAGCTGTGAAGGTGGATGAAGGCTGCAGCAGATCAAGGGTCTCCAATCGTCTTGAATTCCATGCCATTGGACTTAGATCTCTATTTGTCAAGGACTGTGCAGTTGTTGGTGTGCGACAACATTCTCACGCTAAAAGAAGTCACGCGCAGGCGTCTTCCTTATGGGAATCATACATCTCCTCTGCACAACAGGGAAGTTGTATGGTGATTGGCGAGTGGCAACGGGGACAGGACTGTGAGATCTGGAAGTTCTAGTCATGGACCGGCACGTAGGCAGTGGATGTTCACTTCAGTCATCGTGTTCAAGGGCAGAGGCAGTAAGAGCAGTTTGGCAGCTGCACCCACAACTGAGCAGTCCTATCTAGGATCCCCTCTGCTCACCCCGCATAGAGAGAGGGCTAGAAAAGGTGTCCCCCAAACATAGTCTGTCTCGATCAGTTCCTGACTGGATAATTGCATCCAATGGGATCACTCCTATGTGGTCACAAAGAAACAAAAATGATTTTTGGAACCTGGAACGTATGAACCTTAATGGTCATGTTGTTAGCATGCCTGACTCCCTCCTCCCAAAGAGAATCTTTTTCTCACAGCGGGAAGAAGGTCAGCAAAGTAGCAGAGGGCAAAGAAAGCGCTTCAAAGACAACAAATACAGTTTGCAGAAGCTTTCAAAACTGTAAAATGTTGGTTTTGCTGTGCAGTGAGATGAAAACCCAAATGTCACCCTGAAGGCAAACATGAAGAGGTGTAACATTGACATCAGCACTTGGGAGACCCTCGCTCAGGAATGACCAAAATGGAGGAAGGCTCTTTGGGAGGACCTCAGCACTTTGAAACAGCTCATCGACAGGCAGAATCGGAAAAGAGGAACAGGTGAAAAGAATATCCAACGCAGCAACACAGTGCCCATCCCTCCTGAAAACATCTGTCCTCACTGTGACAAGACGTGGATCTAGAATTTGTCTATGGAGTCACCTGTGGACTCACTATTAAGATCTTTGGAAGACAATCTTACTCGTTTGCGAGTGATCGCCTATCATCATAGCGGAAGAATGGCTGAAAATGAATCAGCTGATGTAATGAGCCACGCTACTCCATCTGTTTTTCAGCATATCCAAAAACATTAAAAGGCTTTCAGCAATGGTCTACCTATGGTACATTTATCCTATTATGGATCTGATTTAGACAAATAAAAAGAGTTCAAACAAAAAGCTATAGTAGGCTACAAAAACCAAAAAAACTCTAATTTTGTATTGTGTTGACATAGTTGGCCTTTTGTCTGCAGCGTGGAAGTTGGATGCACATTTTACTCCATAAGTCTGTACCTTCCTAGTTATGTTTCTGCACTTGAAAGTACTTCTAGGAAAGGCATCCTGGCAAAAACTTTATGTAATATTTTCTTTAATTGAAACAATGACCAGATTGCAATATCTATCCAGACTATTCTATTGTAACTGCACGTAAAAGGGCTTTCTTAATTTTTATAGAGTTTAAAGAAAGCTCTTTTAAGTGCAGGTACAATAGAATAGTCTGGATAGATATTGCAATCTGGTCATTGTTTCAATGCATTTGACTTCAGTATGTACTTGACAAAATTCACTGTGGGCTTTGCTAATTAAAATAATTTCATTATAACTATTTTTTTTCCTTTCTATTGGCATAAACTTACTGAGTACATGTGTTCTGCGCTCTCTCTCTCCATTTTAGGTATGAATCATGTCAGTACAGTGAAAGATGAAGATACGCATTTCTGAAGTAGGAGTGTGCATATGATTAAAGGATTTGATCAGAGGACTCTGAACTGTAGTTCCTTCCTGCTCCAGGAGGGATACCTGAGGTGAGTGAGTAATGGGATAATTTATAATTAACTTGGGCTTTTCTTCAGGAGGCCTGTAGTCAAAACAAGAAGATACAGTTCGGCTAGTTTCAAATAAGAATAGAAGAAACTTCAGATACTGCAGTCACACCCTTTAATTACAAGCACCTTCAGAGCTTTTTTTCCTGGTTACTAACAAGAGGCTTTCCACAATTGTGACATGAGGTTTCTATAAATTGCACGCATTTCAGCTTTTCAGCTCCCTTCAGTACATATTGTTGGATGTTTTCCCCCCTCAGAAATCAAAACTGAACTGTCAGAATTTAATTCTCCTTTCCTGAAGCAGCCCTAAGTAAAACTAGTCATAGCAGTGCACACTGTGGGTAAATGCAGACATTTAGGGATGGGGGAGAGGTTAAATTGGGTTCAAAATGGCCACCAAATCTAATTTTAGTTCACCCCGGATGCGGACTTTACACTCAGACCCAGACTTAGTGATTGGAAATCAGTTTAAACCTGTAACTACAGGAGTTCTGCAGACACTAGCCAGTCTGAAAATTGCAGAACCTGGTCTAAGATAGGCTTACTTGACCTAGGTTAGACCAAGGCATGGAATTTCTGTATAGTTCCCAGCCTTTGGGGCTGTGTAGGTAAAGCCCAGCTGCTGGCCTCAGCCCTGGGGCTACACTTTTCATGCTCCCCTCCACCAAGCTATTTTTAGCCCCCTGGGCCCTTATACCCCCACCCCCCCATTGACCAGCTAGCCCCCTCCACCTGCCCCACCTGCACACTGCTCTGGGTGCTGCCAGTTTTATCAGCATTTGGCACTGGAGCAAGTAAGTGTCATGGGAGAGGGGTGTAGGTTAACTGGGGGGCATTGGGGAGGCTAAGACTAGCCCCTGGTCCTCCCAAGTCCTCCCCTGCAGACCCAATAAGCCCCTCTGATCCTGTCAAACCCTTCTGGACCCCAGCACTGCCCCCCCGCAATGCTGCCTGCCCCCCTACCCCCCTGTGAATGCTGCCTGCCCCCTGCATTCCACCATAGATGCCACGTGCATCCTCGATCCCACAGATGCTGCCTGCCCTCTCATCTCTTCTGATCATACCCACCCCCATTCCCTCAACTGCCATCTCACTAGTCCCCCCCATCCCAACTTATCTTAGATTGGGTGGCCATTTGGAACCGATCAAACCTCCCCCTAAGCTCCCCAAATATCTACACTTAGCCCATGAAGCCAAGGAAGAGGAGGAGAATAAGCTTTCTGACTAAGCTTGTTGGTGAAGGAGAAAGATCAACATTAATAAAACTTGTACCTATACCCTATCTCAGCTCCTTGCTGGAGTTTGTTCAGAACTGGTTCGTGGTGCTGCCTCCAACAACTAATCACTGAGCTTGTTCTGATAAGGTTGTGTATCAGCTTCATGGATTTATGTTGAATATTGATTATTACTGCTTGCAGCAAGCAGTTTGATTAAAAGGGTCATTAAAACTTAAACTGAACTATTCATAGGAGGGTACAGATGAGCTTATACTGCGTTTTTGTAAAGGGAACCCTTCTGGGTGTATTCAGTTTGGATCATTTGGTTGGTCTGCATTGTGAGAACACTGAGTAGCAAATGACATGTGGTTCTTTAGAAGTCCAGCCTGCTCTGTTTTCCCTCTGTTTTCATCTCACTGCAATCTTGGAGTCTCCTGCATAAACTTACTCTTACTCTTCAGAGGTCTGTGTTTCCTAAGACAGACTGTTCCAAGTGTGTAGAACACTGTTCTGTTTAAAACATACAGTGACAACCTCAGCTTTTGGGTTTAACTTCATTCAGTTTTATACATATGCAGGCAGATCAGAAGAGTGGGTGATCCCCTGCTGCTGTTGATTCTCAGCCGCTCAGCCGAAAACAGCAGTCTCTTACCTACAGATTTTACTGTCTGAACAGTTTCTGCTCATAGGAAGGCATGTAATAGAATAACAGGGGTGACTTGTGACTATTTCAGTGGGGCAAGAGAGATTTTTGGAAGAAGCCCAGTAAGACGTGTCTCAACAAGTGGCAAAGGAAACAGTATGAGAGAGCAAGTGATAATGTGTTAGAAAAGCATTTGAAGAAATAACGGAAATAAAGCAGATTGCAGTGGAAAGTATCCTTGGAATCAAGAGGAGACCATTGCGCTGCCAAAGGAAGTAGCTGGCAACGGTGTGTTTGTACCTTTTGGGCTAGCGACAGAAATTACATATAAACTAGTATAAGTGATCAGAAACTAGTTCAAATCTGTGACACAACAGATGTTCAGTGCACGTAAACTGCTTTCAAAATGGCCGAAACCAGTTTAAGATAAACCTGGATGGATGTGGTATCAGGCTTAAGTGATTTAGGTTAAATCAGTTTATCGAATTTCTGTCCCGGATCCTCTCCAGATTCAAGTTAATTCACAGTCCCCTAGCATCCCTGGATACTTTGCACCTCTCCTGCAAGCCCTTCCCCAACAGGGTGGTTGGGCTAGCCTTGGCCCAAGCTGTCCACTTCACCCGAGCAGGGAGGCATGCTCTAGTGTCTCCTGGCTTCTGGCCTGTGTCACTGCAGACATGTGACTGCATTTCTGGAATCAAAAGTGAATGTCTGTTCACTTGCTTATCAGTTCAATCTACCTGGCTTAGAGTTGTAACATATGAAGATTGAATTGATTCAGCCTTGGGCTTTTTGACTGGCTGTACTTAGCCTGGAGTTCAGTGAGCATATTGTGTTCTCCAGGACCAGGTGAGGGTTGGGAGGATGCAATAAATTGTGAAGAAAGTGGGTGGGAACATTTTCCATTTAGGTGTCCTTTGGAGTAAGTGGCAGAAATTTTGCTAGAAGCAATTAAGCGGGTGGCAGTGGATCTGGAGGCAGAAGGAATGCAAGAAATAGAGGATGACCCAAAGAGAGAGATTTCTACACTGGCAGGAGAGTACAGAATGGAAGAGTATGCAGGATGTTTTGGGAGATCAGTTTTTTTGCAGGGAAGCATGGAAAGTAGTGGAAACACAGGGATCTGCACCAGCAGAAGGCACAGGATTCAGAATCAGGTTGTGATTTGTGAATGCAGCCATCGTTGCATTGAGGAAAACCGAATCATAATTGATAGATGTACATATAGATTCCTTTCCTTGAGTATGTAATGAGAAAATCAAAATATTCCTCTGTTGTACCCTCATGTGTAAGTGGGCAATATAAATATTTCAATAGTATTTACTGTGCTTTATGCATTTTATACATTTTCCAGAGAGAGACTGCATAATACTATTCTGATAACTCACCCTGAACTCTGAAATTACACACCTCCGCTTGAAGAATTTGTGATGTTACATGAAAAGTGGGATTTGTGTAGAGCTTTCTTCAGCATTACATATATCAGTGGTGCTCAACCTATCTAGCCCTGCAGGCTGGATGAGTGGTGCTGGGTTGGTCTGTGGGATCAGGTCCTGTGCAGGGTCAGCATGTGGGTTTGGTCCATGGGTGCAGCATGGATCCAGCTGCATGTCAGCAAGATGGAGCGCACAGGGCCATGTTATCTGGCTCACAGGGCTCCTTGCTTCTCAGGTCCAGGAATTTGGCAGCAGACTAGTGGTATTTCATTCTGCCACTACTTCCCTGCTGCAAAATTTCTGAACTAGCTGGGATGCCTGTGGGCTGGGTGACACATCTCTATCCTGTAGGCTAGAGGTTAAATACCATGGCATACACTGATTGTCTCAAAAAAAGACTTTGCAAGAACAGGTTTTTTTTTAAATACGGTACAAAAGAAAATAAATCCTTTTACTGCGTTGACTTTGGGCAGTAAGATTCAGATGACTGTATATTGTTTTACAGATTTATACATTACAGATTCTTTTTTTAAAATGTTTTTTACCCACCCTTGTTTCTGTTGTAGTCAGGGAGAAAGCTGCCATGGACTTGAGTGGGACTGGGATCCAGCCCACTGATGTGTGAAATGCTTTTTGTTACCTTATTAGAGCAGTTGGCTTATGACTTCAGATCTGTGCAATTGTACTGGATACTTTCATGCCTGGAACCTTCTGATCAACTGTCCATTTAAAAAGGACCATTTTGTAGGTGTTTTATGTGGCTAGCATGATGAGATATGATAAGAAGTTGGGATAGCCATGGTGGACCTTCCCAAATGGGAATGCCATTAAAACCTCTACATGACACAATCCATATGTATCCATATGTACATAATCCTTTATAGTATACACTCAGCTGGGAAGATGTTTGTAAAAATGTTTTAGTGAATACTTAAAACATTGGGGACTCCTGGTATCGACTGGGCTGGAAAACCATGATTTATAGTGGTCCGCTAATGCTGTTGTTTGGGCTCAGAGGGCCATAGAAAGAATAACTGCTGTGTTTTGAAAACTTCTAACATTCATGTAAAGTAATTTTGCTTGCGCAAAAATGCCAGGGCTTTCAGTACAATAATTTGAAGTCTTAGAGACTAGAAGCTAATGGTGCTTTGGGAAGTTGGAAAGCTCCATGTTTGCCCTGTGATGCTTATGTTTTTGCAGCTGCAAGTTAAAAGATTTGTCCTCCATATGGATTGGATGCCTTTGTCCCTGGATTTTAAGTTTTAATTCTATAGATTTGTGATGGGTGTTTTCTTTCTTTTTTATGCCTTTATATAGAGGTAGGGCAGACGTTCCCATCTATCTGTAAAGATGCTGACCTAGCATCAGATGGAAGAGTATGATGAAGTGATAAATGTTTCAAGCCCCTGGCCTCTTATCTCTGGTCTTGTTTTCTTAATCCTTCCCAAACTAAAATGATTGAAACGCCTTCCAGATCTGATAACTGAAAAGATTTCAAGTGAAACTTTTGGCTCCTATCCTACCATGAGATCATACAATATGATATTAGCTAAATTTGTACCAGAGTTTGAAATGAAAACTAAAACATGTTACTGTTAGCCTGTCTCTGCTATTTTTGAGACCTGTGGGCAAATACTAGCTTGTTGGTCAATCTCTATGCCGTATTAATTCATCTACATTTTT